TCGCCATATGGCTGGCTTCTCCTGTCCCATGTGGAGGAGATGCATTTGTGGGGGTGAGTCCCTGCTCCAGCACAGCATCCTCACGGAGGACGGAGGCAGATGGCTTTTCAAATTAGATTCTGTGGCTTGATGAATGACCACTTCCCTAGACTCCTATTCATGTGTCCCTGGAACTCCTTTCTTCTGGCCACAGATTTGCTCTCAGGGAACCCCTGGGATACTCCCCTGACTGGGAGAATTCCCGGGCTAGCAGTTCAAAGAGGAGAAAGGGAGAAAGTCAAGCTTCCTATCCTGTTGGTGTAGGGCGGGCAAGGAAGATGAGCTTTGTCTTCAACGGGAACATCACATCTGTTGTAGCTTTAGGGCTCGATATTGGGTGTAGGGCTAGTTATTGGCCAAGGCGTGAGACCAGATTTATTTGTAATGCCCTCATTTCTTCCTAGCTCCCCTACTCTGTTTTAGCAAGCCCCTTCACTACAACCATTGCCCTTGGGCTACCCCCAGTTTGGTTCTCTCCAAACTGCAGCATAAATCCCTGCAGTGTTCCACATTCCAGACTTTTTCTGATTTCCTGTCCCTATTAAAATGTGCTCCCTCCGCTGTCTGATAATAGGGTTTTGTGTTGTCCCCCACCTAAAACACAGGAATGCTTTGTAAGGCTCTTCATTCTTGGGACGTGGGCATTGGGAAAGAAGGGCATTCTGCCTTCTGTGTGCTTTGTGAGATCTTTATATATAATAGATGACTGAGTAGTTTTGAGCTGCCTGGAAAGCAGAAAATACTATCTCCATTTTCTAGAAAAGACCCACAGAGGTCAAGAAACACATATAAAATCTCATCGCCAGTCCAGAGTGGAACCCAGATGCTAGGCTCAGAAGATGTCTATCTGTGTTCTTTTCCAACTTCCAGTCATCTCTGATGGTGAGAACCTCAGGCTGGTGGGGTCATGGCGGACTAGCCCTGAGTCTTCACCTGCTTCCTTCAAGTGATTGCTGGGAGCTGCCTTTTCTCCTTCTAAGGAGCCTTCAAGTATCATGAGTGTGGGATGCATGTCCCTAGTGCCTGGCACATGCTTGAGGAATCAATAAATTAAATCTAATGGGTATGATGCATTTCTCTGAAATGCACTGTCACGTGGGCTGGTTCTGGGTAGAGGACCTGGATCAGTGGCCTTGTCACCGGAAGATTGGGCTCCATTCCATCATGACAATGGACACATGGACAGAGCCTGTCTAAACAGCACAACCAGATCAGGAACACCAGGTTGACTTTAGGGGCTATTCGCTTCCTCCTTTCCATAGACTACACAGCCTTTGAGAGTTAAAAGAGAAAGTGAAAACACATCTGTGAGGTTGGTGATGCAAGAGCTGCAAATTTAAAAAGAAACGTCATTTCAAATGTGAAAAGTCTGGAAAATATTCTCTCTTTTTTTTTGGAAAATAGTCTTAATCTTCTGATCCATGATAAGAATTTTTTAAAATTTCATTTACAGAGAAAAACAAAATAATGACCTTAGTCTTAAAATCAATTCTCAATTGTTCCCATAAGAAGAAATAGAGTTAGCATCCATGCCATATTCTCCAATAGCATAATACTAATACCATAAGGAGTAAATTATTTCTGTCTCTGTTCTGGAATATGATCTACAGGCAGTGGCCATTCCAAACTGAGGTCTGAGAAAGATGTAGGCAGGTAGTTTCAATAATCTATGCTTGTCAATAATGAATTATTGAATCTCTTTATTTAACAGATATTTATTTAGCGTTCACCACGTGGCCCTGACTCTGTTATGATTTCTCTTTAATAATGTATGTGCTTGCAAAATGACCCAGGGCACTGGTTATGCCCCCGGCCTTCAAGGAGCTCCCGTTGAGGGACTAATAAAAGATTTAATAAAGCATGGAAGGAAAGATAAATGTAAGAATGTGAAGCTCTTGCTTCTAGGTCACAATTCTAAGATCAGAGTGTGGGACTGTGGATTTCCCCAGGGTCTTCTAAGAAGGGTAAAACAGAGAACCATAGTGAAAAATAGTAATTCACACGGCTGCTTGTCATGCCTTGTTCCCTCCAATTCAGGCTAGTATTAGAGCAGGCAAAGGATCCTCTGAACAGGTGTGACTGTGTGTGTGTGTGTGTTTGCCAAGGAGAGGTGGATATTGGGGGTGGGTGTAGGAGAGGGCAAATGTTAGCTATTTCTGAGGACCCCACACCCCCTAGCATCCTGGTTTTCTCTGCCTCCACCAGGCTATTGTTCATTACTGTCTCGATGAGTATGGTTTGAACCCTCTGGGCTGCCCCTAGCTTTCCTGACCTGGAGTCCCAGAGGTGCCCTGCAACAGGAAGTATCCTGGGTGGTGACTAGACTACCTAGTCGAGAGCCACAGCTGTCAGGTGGGGCCTCCTGGGGCTGGCTCAGGAGTCACGGGTGCTGAGCAGTCAGCTAGTTGCTGATTACCTCACCACATGCATTCTGCTCCCTGTCAGTCACCTGGAAGGAAGGGCTGGGCCAAATTTACCTCTCCTCTAGGTTTCTGCTTAGGACTATCTTGCTGCTGGCTGCTTCTATGCCTGCCTGGAGCCTCCCACTTATTCTCCAAACAAAAGAGACCACACTGGGATTGTTTCTACTAGAAACAGTTTAGAACATCATGTTCTCATTCATTTCACCAACAGCACAGGGCCCTACCAAGGACCCCACACTGTTCTTGGGAAAGATGAATCGTAGGAGCTCAAGGGACAGATATATAAATAAAAAATAATCACAACAGGCCATAATACCTACTATATGGTTTCATTTATATGACATTCTGGAAAAGACCAAACTAGGGAGACCCAGAACATGATAGTGGTTGTTAGGGGCTGGGCGAGAAGCGTGGTGTGGGGAGTGGGGAGTAATATAACTGTGCTAGTATTGGTTATGCTACTAACTGCATTGATTAAGACTTGCAGAAATATCCACTAAAAAAGGGTGAATTTTACTGTATGTATTATAACTCGATATTTAGAAGAAGAAAATAAACCACAATAGAATGCAGCAGTGTGCTGCAATAGCGCAATGCATAAAACGACACAAAAGAGGAAGTAACCAGCACTTCCTGGAAGGGAAGGGGGAAGGGGTCAGAGAAGCCTGGCTGGAGAAAGGAGCAGCTGACCTGTGGTTTGGAAAGATGATGCCAGTTTGCGAAAAAGACAGAAGGTGTAGATGTTCCAGGTAGAGGGAACAGCTTGTGCGAAGGTGTGTGGTCTGGGCAGCAAGCATCTTGGGTCCTGTGGGCTGCTTGTCATTTGGTGCCACTGGTGCATCGGTGGGAGTCCAAGCAGTTCTATACGTGGGGCTAGGAGTGGGGACACAGCTGTTTCTTTTGCCTTTCAACATTTTCTTATTGTGCTAAAATACTTAGAGCATAGTATTTGTCTTCTTAACCACTTCTCAGTGTACAGTTCAGTGACATTAATTTCATTCACAGTGATGTGCTGCCGGCACCGGTATCTGTTTTCAAAGCCCTTCTGGTCACATGACCCTGAGCAGAACCCCCTGCCCATTAAGCACTAACTCTCTATGCCTTCCTCCCTCACCCCCTGCCCAGTCCCTGGGAACCTCTAACCTATATTCTGTCTCTGCGAATTTGTTTCTTCTAGATATTTCATGTAAGTGAAATCATATAATATTTGTACATTTGTGTCTGGCTTACTTCACTTAGCATATTTTTGCTTTGTTTTTAATGAGGCCTTTGGATTAAGAAGTAGGCCCTGAGAAAATGCTCTCATTTGAGAGTCAGAGGAGAGGGCAGAAGGAAGCCTGGTCTGAACCAGAAGAACTCAGCGCTGGGCCGGGGTGATTTTCTGTAGGTGTCCCGTGCATGGCTCCCCTCTTCATTAGGGTCATACTTGAGCAGGGACACCTCTGCATACCTGCAACTCACCTGCACCTCCGTAGACCCCTGGTGTCAGAGACTCCCACCCACAAATCTGTTACACATGGCACCCTCACCTCCGACAAAACTGCAAAAGGAATTTTTAAAAAGACATAAGAAAATAAGTGACCAAGAATTGCAAATGAGGCAACCCAAGAAGCAGGATTTGGAGTTAATTAGCCCTTGAACTGTCAAGCCCAATTGCTTCCAGTGAGTTCTGACATTTCTAAGAATAATTAAGAACTTGGCTGTCACATTTCACAAAGGCCCAACCACAACGCGAGCAAGTTCTACCTGCTTTCCCCGCATAATGTCCAGAAACACATAGAGGAGGATTATACCCACTGCTAATTGTAAGTCCTTGGGTAGAAGTGCCATGTTTTTCAAGAACCTTTTGTATTTATATACCAAAATATAATGATCTTCATTTAAGGAGTGGATGTGAGTGGCAGTGGGGGTGGCACTTTAAAAACATCCGATATCACTGATGATAATAGCTAACATTTACAAGTGTTTACTACATGCCAGACGCTATTCCAAGTGCCACAGGAGCCTATGAGGTGGAGATGTAGGTATATAATCATAATAATTATATATTGCATATTGTATATAATAAATATATTCATTAATATCTATTAAACAAATATGTATATCTATATATAATCTTCAATTAATAGGTGAAGACACGGAGGCACAGAGAGTTTCTACAAGCTTTTCAGGGTCACAGAGTCAAGGTCAAAGCCAGGCAAGCTAGCTCCAGAACTGGTGCTCTCAACAACTGTACTTACATGTCTTGTCTCTAAGCTATGCTGAGTTACCCTGCCATTGGGAACAGTCAGCTTTTCTGGTGTGCTTCGTTAGTCTTGTCAGAAGCATTTATTAATCACAAACTTATACATAATTCTGGTTCCTTGCCCTCTAAGAACTATTTTTCAGGCAAGAAATAAATTCTTCTATAATATATTTAACTCATCTCATACTCAAGTGATTACCTCATGGTTATCTTCCACTGTCTTCATTCATTCATCAGATATTTATTGGGCATCTACTATGTTCAAGGCACTGTATAAAGCCATGGGAGGGAAACACAGATTAATTCGAAATAGAGTCTGTCCAGGAGGAGCTTCCATTCCAGGTGAGAAAGTAACCCAGAATACCTATAATAAGACAAAGTAGTATAATACAAGATAAAAAATGATACAAGGTGATATAACTCAAGGTAAAAAGTGGTAAGTACCTAAGAAAGATATTTATTACTATGGCTGTTCAGAAGAGAAATTACTTTAAAACATCTGTGTGTGGATGTGTTGTACAAGGTGGGGAAAGTTGGTGGAGAGAAGACGAAAGGAGGAAGAGAAGGAAAGGAGATTTATGAAGAAAGCGATGAAACTGGCCTTTGATATGGACTGAATTTTTTCCCCCCAAATTCATATGTTTCAGTCTCAACCTCCAGTACCTCACGATGTGGCGATGTTTGGAGATACGGCCCTGAGAGAGGTAATCAAGCTACCATGAGACCCCTCCGGTGGGCCCTGATATGATATGGCTGGTGAACTTGTAAGAGCAAATCCGGACACAAACACAGAGAGAGAACATGTGAGAACTCAGGCGGAAGACAGCCATCTGTAAGCCAGGAGAGGACCCAGGAGAAACCGCTCCTGCTGACACCTCCATGTCTAGTTTCCAGCCTCCAGAACTGTTGAGAAAATAAATTGCTATTGTTGAAGCTACCCGGTCTGTGGTACTTTGTTATGGCCACCCTACCAAATGAATACAAACTAAACTTTTTAACAAGAGAGGATTTGGACATGGAGAGATAGAGACTAAAGGGTAGGAATTGGGGAAGGGAAGGACTATATAGAACAACCAGATTTTATTCGGTGGATAATGGGGAGACATGGCAGGCTTTGTGAGCAGGAATGACCTGGACAGCAGTCATTCAATTTATTCAATTCATTCAGCAAACATTTCCTGAGGACCTGCCTCATCCCAGGCATTGTCAGGAACCACCTGGGAGCTGCTCTATGAATAAGGTGCCTTAGCACAGGGCTCCTTCATAGGACTGCACATCTGGGCGGGGACACAATGGAAAATGAGCTAGACTGAGGAAAGCATGGAGGTGGAGAGACTAGTGGGAAGCCTTTTATTGTGGCCTGATTTAGTGCTTTTCAATCTTCTGAAAGAGGTTAATATGACCCCCAGGGAAGTGTCCACCCCACCCCTCTTGGCTCTGCTCCTAATCATGGATAACAGAGGCAGTGCCTTGCCTCTGAACATCTCTAACTGGCCAAGAAAATGTGGTTGAGCGTTACCTTCTGTACTTTGTATTATGGGAATATGACTTTTAAAAATGTCTTTCAAATATGAATTCTAAAACTGAGTTATCTTTTCCAAACCACACATTACACAAGGAGACTTTGAAACAACCCTTCCCTTGACTTCAGCCAGCCTATCCCTGAATCTAAACCACAGAAAATGGTCTTTTGATAACAAACAGCATCCCCAAGGGATAATGCTTGGAAAAAACAAACAAACAATCAAAAAGCAATTCAAAACAAAATAAATACATTTATTTTGGGAGTTATATGGTGACAACTCTTCCCTCAGGGTAATAGGTAGACAAATGGTCCCCCAAAGATGTGCAAGTCCTAATCCTTAGAACCTATGAATATATTACTTTATGTCGCAGAGGTGATTAAGTTCATGGCCTTGAGATGATGGGATTAGCCTGGATTATCCATGTGGGTTTAATCTAATCCCATGGGTTCTTCAAAAGACACAACCTTGCCTCGCTATGGTCACAGAGAGATGTGACTATGGAAGAGACATGCAATGTTGCTGACTTTGAAGACGGCAGAAAGGGGCCACAAGCCGAGGAATGTGGTCAGAAGTTGGAAAGATAAGGACATGAATTCTCTTCTGAGCCCCCAGAAAAGGAATACAGCGCGGCCAACACTTTTATTTTGCCCGTTGAGACCCATTATGGAATTCTAATGTACAAAGCTGTAAGATAAAAAATTTGTATTGTTTTAAGCCACTAATGTGGTAATTTGTTATAATGGCCATAGGACACCAAGATACTCCAGTTACTATAACTCAAGTCAGGCCTGCTTCTTTAAACAGTGTAGCTTTTCAAGGTTGGCCTTTGTAGTGACTTCCAATTCAGGATTCCCTTACCTGTATGGTAGGTTGTATGGTCTCACTTTCCTACCAGATTTTAAACTCCCTAAGGGCAGGGACTGAGCTTTTCATTTCAGTGTCTTTAGTGCCAGCATAGTATCTGCTACATAGCAGATGTCAAAAACTATGAATTAAATGCTTATATGAAAGCCCAAAGCAGGCTAGTGCTTCATAATGCCTTAATGGGACCTCCAACAGGAGGCATCTGTGCTTTCAGACATAAAGAGGTCAAGTCTGATGTCACCATTGATGTATATATATATGTCATTAAGTTGAAATGAATTACTGTTAGCTGTAACCAAGACAACAAATCCCATTCACATGTAGAGAATGGTGAGTCATTCAGACCAGCGTCAGTGAAGGCCTGGCTTTCCAAGACAATCTTTGTACAATGTCACTCCAGGCCCCTTTTCATGAAGAGCATTTATCAACGGGGCCTGTTCTAAATGGCTCTCCCTATGCGATTCATTTAGCTGGTCCATCCCGCAAAGGCATGGGACTCAGATACAAAGCTTCGTTAGTTTGGATACGTTCCTCGTGAAATTACACTTATTTTTGGAAAGAAATGACCATTCACAATTTTTCATTGTTGGATGGAAAGCTTTGAAGTTGCTTTCTAGAAAAGCTGACCGTGGGCAGTTTTAGTATAAATAGCACAGCCTCCTCCCCATCATATCTTTGGTAACTATTTTCAACTATCATTAGCAGAAACTCAGAGCTGGTGGGGGAAAGGAGTCTACAGAAAGCCCTATTAGCCAGGACCTGCTCTGTTGTTTCTCTCTCCTCAGTGAGGCCACCCTGATATCCCTACTGTTGTCATCATGGGTGCTCTGCAAACTCCCTGCTGTTGTTTGAGCTTGAAGCTTGGGCTGGTAGTGAGGCTTCCCCCGTCTTGCAGGAAATCCAAGGACTTGGCCAGAATACAGTGCCGTGCCAGACCTCAACCCACCCAAGACTCGGACTTTGAGTTGACCTAGAGAGTTTGTTTTTCCTTCTCTTCTCCCCATAACCTGAGCTCCTCTCACTGGACACCAGTGTTTTTCTTCTTGCTTCTGGCTCCTCTCCTCAACCATTTCCTATCCCAACCCTGACTTTAGGCAAGAGATCCAGCTATGGTTTCAGAGGTCTCCAATGTGGCCCCTGAAGGTGTCCCTAAGCATAGTTTACTATGCTTAGGAAATTCCAACAGATGGCAGTTCTCATCAGCAACACTTCCTTTGCCATAAACTTTTGTGTTCAGACACTGCTTGTGTTTGCCTCCTCCTTGCCAGTTCCCAACTCCCTCAGGCAGGACAGAACTCTGGCAGGTGAGGGTTCTAAATTGGTCTCCAAAGTCTGAGAGGAATAATGCTGCTTCTCTGTATCAGAGTAGCCAACCAGCAGGGGGCTGTGCCCTGGGCAGCAGCACAGACAAGTTCATCAAGTCTTCAGGAGTAAACAGGAAGTAGATGACAGGATATTAAAGTTTGGCGCTCGCCACACAATTTTTTTTCCTCTTGGCTCATGTTTGAGTGTTTCTGGGACTGCCATGCTCCCACAGAGGCATATCAAAATCAAGAAATATTTAACAAGTGACTCACATACTTTATCTGCTGTGACTTAGGCTGACCAGGAAAGAAAATGGAGGGAAAGGCAATTAGAACATGAGGAACGAACCATTACCATCACCAAAGCCATTCCAAATCTGAAACCAGTACCAGCCGTGGTGGTCCTGTGCTCTTCGGTCATGGGAAGAGCAGTGCTGGGATCAGAGCAGGTTCTGAGGCAGGAAGGGTCTTGCGGATTGGGGAGTGCTCTCCAGCTGGAGGGCTGTGGGGGAGAGGAGCCTCCCTGCCCCCAAGATAAGGTTAGCCCTGGCAAACACAACCTTGCTATGGAGAGGTGAGCCAGCTGTCAAGGGCTGGAGAGCAGAAAGACACCTCAGTCAGTCCAAGTGAGCAAAGAGTTGGGACTTCCAGGAAACCTGACATGGGTACTCCATCAAAGAGGCAATGTCTCTGGAGAAAACCAGGAAGTGACAGATGGGATGGGAAGATGGAATCTGGTAACCCCTTCATCCAGAGGAGCTGAAAAGAATGTGTTAGAGACCATAAGCTGAAGATTAGAGAGGAAGCCAGGCCCTTGGGAAGGAGGAGAGCAATTCAGAGCATACCTGGAGGTCAATCCAACCTTGGGAGCTAGAGGTGGTATTGCGTGGAAGGGAATGCTCTAAAAGCAAAACCCCATTTTCCATGAAGATAGTCAGCCAAGGGTAGTTTCCTGCTGTCAACCTGTAACAGTCAAATAACCAGGCCCTCTTTCCGACTTCCCTTCCCTCCTCAGAGGCCCCCTGAGTAGGTTTCACTCTATGGAGAAGTTGCCGATTACACTTTAGTATCGATTTATCTCTATGGAACTACTGTAAACAAAAGAATCTTTAATTAAAGAACCTTTTCCCACAAAGTGGTTACCATGACATATGTTAAAATCTGCCAACTGCTACCTATGCAGGAAAAAAAAAATTAAAGCAAGGAAGATTTACAAGCCGTTTTCTTCGATCCTAGTGAAATAGATAGCTTAAGCTGTCTTTCAAGTGACTCATGTCTAAATCAATAACCCAGTCCCAGACAGAACAATCACGATGGCCTCTTATAGAAGGGAGGCCCATGGTGTTGAGCCAGAGGTCTGCAAAGCCACAGGATAAACCTGGTACTTCATAACGGGAAAGGATGGATGTGTCATGGGAATGCACAATTTACATGAAATTTTAAGATGAAACACAAAACTGCAAAGAAATGTATGTTTTTAGTTGGCTACTACTGATCACACTCCAAAATCCTAAGTCCCAACAGAAGTTCTCCAGTGGAAAATCTGAAAAGTTCTGCCTTCTGGAAATATAAGGAAGTCACACCCAGCCCAGCATCCCATGTGCCCATTTCCCTCACTTCTTCCTTAATAGGAAGATCAAATATTATATGTCATCATAGGTACTGAGAAAACATACAGTATCTGAATAAATACATGAGCAACAATCCAAAATATGTAGAGAATATACTGCAGTCCCTCTCTTTCATATTAAACACCTATAACAACAACTATAGCTAACAAAGCTCCATCCCCTGATGTGGTCTGACCTGGCCAGGGATGTGGGTCCTGACATTAAGGTAGGGTTTGTGGCAGAGTATGGAGCAGCTCAATGCTGGAAGATTAATGGGGCTCTATGCCAAAGCATCCAAGTACTACCCTAGGAGATAGTTGACTTTTGTAACTTTAAGTCCTCTTGTCCTGAACTTAAATAAACAAACAAACAAGCAAAAAAAACACAGGGTTGTATGTTAACTATCTTCCCGGGTGCCCTTGGCACTCTTTCTTGGGTCCACTGAGAGCCCACCAGCTCAAGCCTGCTCCCCCATTCTGTACGGGGCCTCTCCAAGGCTCCTGAGGGCTCCCTGGCTCCTTGTGGCACACTATGCTCTCACACACGTCTATCAGGAGCCCTACCTCTGAGGGTGCCCTACTGCCCTCTCGATCCTATGAAAGATCCCACAGTGTAGAGCTACTCACCTTCTTA